GTAGGGAACAAATGGACAATAGTTACATAATTATAATCACATAATTCTCTGGCCATTCAAGTAGAAACTCATACATGTATGCTGTAAGAAAGTTTTCTAACTGATTTTTATTTACTCAGAGAAAAGTACCTGTTCATGAGTAAGTTTGGATGGGGAAAATAGTAGTCTGGGTTTTCCACATTCGCCACAGGGGATGATATCTCTTGCTTTCTGTGTTTTTAATGTGTCACGATTCTGTTTATCTGCATTCTGTGCCTCCTCACTGAAGTCAGAATTCTGTTTGGATGATGGACGATGACTGTCATCCACCTTCTTTCCATACACCTAAACAATTTAGTTTTAACTAAAGTTTGAGTACACTCTTATTTTTTGATAGAATTGTAGTGTCGACATCATGCTAAATAAAATTCATAAATGCATACGATGATTTCCTTTAATTTAATTTTAATATCAAATAATTTAATTTTAATAAATGTTCATACCTCTTGAAAAGTTTTATAATGAACACCACTGTCATCTGGTACTGGACATGGAAGAAATGAGAGACCAGTAAGTACATCATCAGGTAGTCTGGCTGGATTCATGGTGCAGTATGAACAAGGATTCTCTCCTACACACTTCATTATCTGGAAACTGTAGTGGGTGCTGATACAATGCATCTGTAGGAAATCCTGTAGAAATAAAATTTGGTATCATGATCATAAAATCTACAATTGCACAATCTCAACTTTTAAAAAATTCTTTGATCTATGGTAAATAATAAATTAATTTAAACTAAATATTACTTGAAGCTCTCTACATTCTCGAAGATCTTTTGTCGATGCAGAGGTGTTGACTTTAGACTTTGGTGCATGTGTAACTTCGTTCACAATCCGCATTCGTCTCTGTATAACAGATTCTTTGAGTCCAGTAGTGACTGTAATTGGTTCTCCTTTAAGTTTCATTCTTTCAAATTGCTTTCCCACTGTGTGAATCACTCGAGTCATACTCAGATACGCCTCTCTAAGGCCTGGTTTACAGTTCGCCATATTTCTAATAGCATTCAAAGAAATGCTCCGTTTTACTATTTTCTCTAACTCTGGTGTCATTTTATCTCTAGCAAGAGCACTATGCTGGAGTGCTAAATTAAGAATGGACATGCAGCGTTCTGCCGGATTAACCCAACTGTTGTTTGGTGCAGTTCTAATTGCAATTATCATATCCAAGTTCAGCTGCAGGAAAAGAAGAAGCAAAGAAGTTTTCACAGTTTCATATGTCAATCTGTGATCCGGCCCTCCGTCCGTCATCAAACACAAAATAGGAACATTCAAGTCCACATCATTATCAGAATAATTATACCCCCCGCAAACGAAGTTTATGGAATCACCATGTCCGTCTGTCCGTCTGTCTGTCTGTCCGTCTGTCTGTAACGAGATTTTGTCCGGACTTACTGAAACTATTGGAAGGATTTGTCTGAAAATTTGTACACATATTATTCACCATATGAAGTTGTGCACCTGATATTTTCATCTTGATTGGATTATTATTTTGAATTTTACAGGTGTTTTTTCATTTTTATTTTGTGGTTTTGTTTGGATCTCAGAAACTATTGCAAGGATTAATTTGAAAATTTGTACAATTATTATTCACCATATGAAGTTGTGTACCTGTTTTCAACTCTTTTTGTTCATTTTTCTGCATTTTACAGGTTTTTTAAAATTTTAATTGACTTGTTCATTTTGGGCTCATGTATAAGGTTTGAGACATAGAATCTAGAATATCTGTACAAAAACGTGAACTACAGCTTAAAACTACTCATAAAAACTTTAAAAAAAAAAAGAAACATCAAGTGTTAAAAACGGTTTTTACATTGCACAGAAGATAATGTAATTTCATTTGTCTCTTGCAAGTTAAAGATAAATTAATGAGTTTGGTGTTGGAAGTTGTTTAGGCATTTTGTGTGTGTGTTATCAAATTTCAAATGTTAAAGATCTCTCTTCTCTTATTCTCTTAATTGTAATTTATTGTCTGTCAAAACACTTCATTACTGGATGACCAGTTCTTTATTTTCAAAATGCATTTCAAATTGATATATCAAGATTAATTTGATTTTGTATAATGGTTTTTTTTTTTTCAACAATCAGTTTGCAGAGTGACATAACACATAATTGCAATATATTTTTTTAATGCAGTAATAAAGAAAAATTAAATGAAAAAAATTTAAAAAAAATGTTACAATGGAATTACAATGTATTAGTATTGATGTTTCATTTGGTTGCACCTCCATTTCATTCATTAAGAAACATGATGAGCAATTATATTTCACTGCAAATTTTTTTAAGTAAATTGTGAACATCTCTAGATCCATAAAGTATTTTTGAATTGGCACCTTCTCTGAAAAACCCAGCGGGGGGTATTTGTCCCTATTGGACAGTTCTAGTTATTCCTTAAAATCTTTAGCAATTCCACTGCATGCCTGTAGGGTGTAGAATGTTGAAAAACTTTGTCTTTAATAGTGACAAACATCTTTCCTTGGAAAAAGCTATCCTCAGGAAATTCAGGTGTATCACACACTAAGGCAACAGATGGGATAATCCCAGCAATATGGAAGTCGTGGTCTGTACATGTAAGAGCTGGCCCATCTGCTGGAGCCATCACTTTGTTGTGGCCTCTGACGCCAGTAGATATTGGAATCCCTGGTTCTCCTACTGGCACAATTGCTTTATCATCCATGCATACAAAAAGGGAATGTTGTTTGTACTGAACAAGAAATTCCTTCAGGTACCTAAATGTCACAGCAACATATTTTGCATCAATGTGGTCTACTCTAGATTGACGTGTTTGAACTCTGAACTTAATGTTAAAACGCCCTGTATATTTTAAAGCAGTTTGTCTAAAGGGATTCTGCGGGGTGAACTGGAGGCGCACGGTTTCTGCACATGGGACAGGTGTCCCTTCTGGAATTCTCTCTTTGACTTCATTCATGAGATCTTCAATTGATATAGCAAGGGGTAAATAAAGTTCATTTCCATGGCGTCTCTCTTGTACCGCTAACAGTTTTTCATCAAAATATTTCCCCATTTCTTCAAAAAAGATCCCAAATTTTGTGTCAATATCTTTCCCTCGCATTGTTCTTAAGTCAAATAAAAGGTCGGTATCATCGCCATTCAACAGAATTTCCATTGCACGATTATTTACTTCTTGCTGGGCTTTATTAACAGACACTTCCTCTGTGTCTGTTAATTCATGGTACATCTGACGCAGAACTGATTTTGGTGCTTTAACATATTTCTCATACTTGTTTATGAATTCTCTGCGCATAGCACGAGTTGAAAACTTTGGGAGACTCTTCAATATTTTCCCCTCCAATCGAGAATTTTGTGCAGACCGTTCTGGGGAATCTTCTGGTACCCTCCAAACAAAGTTCAGCGTCCCAACATTACCACCAAAGGAAAGTCTATAAAGCATAACAGACTTCGATAATTGTAACTTTTGAATGAATTTTCTTCTTTTGAACCGATCCACAGGGCAGAAATTATCCACATGAATGATATCATAGTTTTCTGATGATACAACCACTTGATCCAATGGTGAATATATGCTATCAACTTTGGTAACAGCAGATATAAATTGACGAGAGCTGTCTTGATCTGGTTGAAAAGTTTGTTCTGATCTTTCATGATATACTTCTTTATGTCGAGTATTGTCTTTGTAAAGTCTTTCCTTATATTTCAAAAGACACTCAAGAAGAGTTTCCATACGGTCTGATAATGCTTTATGATTTTTTGTTGACATAGAGGGAAATGAAAGGCAATTGGACAACTGAAGGCAGTGCTCGTTCATTTTTTCCTGTGTAATAATTGGTTGTGTGTGGTGATGTTTTATGAAGTTGTTATACCAACTAAATTTCTGAAAATTAACTGGAATTGGGCAGCCATTTTCCTTAAATTTAGCATGTGAACTGTCAACATACAATAATGCATTACGTAGACATGTGAAGACCTTCTTGCCACTTTCTATGAACTGTGTTGTCCAATCATTGTCGAAGTCTGATGCCCATTCTATTAAATCGTTATATAAATTCTGTGGTCCTGAAAATCCCTCTCGTTTTCCTGTTATTTTTTCTGGGAGAGAGTACTTTTTTGAAGCGCTCATGAGACGTGAAAATGCGTCTTCCTTTTGTTTTTCATGAGTTGGCCTAACATTGGTATTTAGACGTAACTTCATTTCCACGAATTTCCTGTTTAAGTCTTTGCAAAGTGACAATCTCATATCAGGTTTCGAAATCTCAATTGCGTCACCTTTTGCATTTTCTCGAATTTTTATTGCACATATATCGTCGATATTTACTATACCTTGTGTGTATCTTTCGTATGTAGACGACGTTCTCTTTATTGTTTCTTCGAATAGCGCTTCAAAAGACTCCTCTGCCTCCATCTCTATAGCAGTATATGGGACGACTTCGCACCCATTGTTCTTAACTATGGTACATATGAACACAGGCATCGTGCAAAACTTCACTTATTGTTCAAATCCCGCGTTTCTGTCATCACGTTTCGAAGTCTTTTGTGCGTTTGGTGTAAAAAGTTGAAAAAAATTGAACTCGGATATTTTTGGACGTAAAAAAATTGAACTCGGATATTTTTGGACGTGCGCGCGGATCTTTTTTTTTTAATATTAAAATTTGGATTTGTTCAAAATAGATGCGGCGAATCCGACGAACTATATTAGAAATTGGTATGGCCTAATTGAAAAAATGTTGACCCTACTCCCCAATATACCTCCTGTCTGTTTTATGATAGGAATTATCATTTCAATTTTAGGCATCAAGTAAATTTTAGAACAATGTCTACACATTCACCTAACACATATTAAGAAAATGAAGATGTATTGAAAAACTTTTAAAGAATTGATTTTTTAAAATATATTTTGATCAACATCACAAAATTTATATAACTGGCCCAAACTGGCAGATGATGAAATAAGCAATTAAATGTTCTACTTTCCTATTTGTAAGCATTATGTGTCCAGTGGTAAGGAGCCTATTAGGATAGCATAAAAAAGAATGTATAAATGTTAATAATTGATTTATCAAAAAAATTTATTTCCTTTTTCTTTGGGACTTTTTTATTCTCATGTTCATAACTAAACCTAAACAAAAAAATGCTGGCCTTATACTGAAGAGAGCGGCCTCTTTCAAAAAAGATAATTTCAGGGCTGCTGGGTCAGGGGTACCAAGGGGGTTCTTTGACTAAAAATAAATTTATGCTTTGAAATCTGCCCTTTGATAAGCAATGTTGCCTCTTTCAAAATTCGTGAATTTCATGGCTTTTGGCTTATTAAACACGAACCAAATACAATTGCTGGAAAGTTGTTACATGATACTCAGGTGACCTATAAGGCCCGTGGGCCTCTTGTTGTATAAAACGCGATAAAGAGTGGAAAATACCCTTTCTTATGTTGGTAAGTTGAATTTCTCGTAGAACATTTTTAGCTCACCTGAGCCGTAGGCTCAAGTGAGCTTTTCTGATCACATTGTGTCCGTCGTCTGTCCGTCTGTCCCTCTGTCTGTCCTTAAACTTTTCACATTTCGACTTCTTCTCAAGAACCAATGGGCCAATTTTAACCAAACTTGGTACAAAGCATCCTTAGGTGGAGGGGAGTTTAAATTGTTAAAATGAAGGGCCAAGTCCCCCTTACAAGGGGAGATAATCAAGAAAAGACAAAAATAGGGTGGGGTCA